TTCTGCTAGAATAGCCAATCAGATATTAGATAGTCACCAGTTTCACCAGCTTAATTTAGTTTCACCTGCAACTCTAGATCATACTCTAGCGCTAGTTTATTATAAAATTGATCATCAGGCCTATTGTACGTCGTACATAACTTCGATCTAATCATCTTTACATCTTTCTTTATGGCATCCAAAATATTTACGGGCAACATACCCGAATTAATGGAGAAAATTCTTAATAATCTAAATAAAGAATTTAATTCTTTATATTCATGCATATTTGTGAGCCGACATTGGTGCAATATGGCTATTCCTATTCTTTGGCGAAATCCATTTTCATCCGAAAAAATCCCAAAATATATATCAAGATACTTGTCATCACTTAATGAAAAACATAAATTTGCTTTAAGTGAACGTGGGATATATATAGAATTTGATAATACTCTATTTCATTATGCAAGATTTTTAAAGGTACTTGATCTATTTTATCTAGAAGAAAAGATTGACCAATGGATCAGATTGCAGATTTTTGACGTACATTCCAAGATAATAAATTATCTAATTAATATATTATTCAAATTACTTATTGAGAGTGGTGCCATTTTATCTGAATTCAATTATATTCCCTATAATTGTGAAATTATACGAAATAATTTATACTATTTAGAACGAAATGAACATTTTTTATCAAGACTCCAAGTTTTATATGTTGATTATGACGCTGCAAACATCACTACATTATTAAGAATCTTGTCAAAAAATGCTACGAAACTTAATACCTTGACATTTAATACACTTAGAGATGGTAGAGAGCCAAAACTATATAATAGACTAGTACACTTAATAAAATCACAAGAAAAGCTTAAGCGATTCGACTTGAGATGTACAGAAACTTTAGATGAGATTACAGAATTACACGGCATTGTTTCAGCTTTAGAAAGCCAAAAAAAATCACTGCAAGAAATTAAATTTATGTGTTGTCCTTCTAGCGAAGAGTTTAAAACTTTAATTGATTTTGAGGATTTAAAAGTTATTCGTATGAAGTATTGTGATGAACATGAAAAGTTACTGAAAATATTAACTAAGAGTCACAGCATAATTAGCACTTTGGAAATAACTTCATTCTCGATTGATGTATCCAATTTATCACAACTTTTGAAAAAATCCGGCTTATTATTACAACGACTGAAACTTATCAATAAAGGAGATGAAGAAATTGATTCACAAACGTTATTACTAGAAACACTTAAATCCTTCTGCCCGAATATTATTTATCTCTATATTTCACGTATTAAACTTTCTGATCAACTTATAGAGTTTATTAAAAGTTTACAACAACTTCAATTTCTCACATTATGGTGGATAAATGATGGAACCGAAGGAGTAAAGAAAGCGCGAGTTATGCGATTTGCTAAAATATTAGCAACAACGCTTCGATATCTTGATTTAGGGGATATAACGTTAAATTCACATATCAATATTTTGCTTAATAATTGTGATGCACCTTTAAAGCAATTATTATTTAATATTGATTATCATTGTGGTTATAAGAAAACAATAGATACGTTAATTAGATTTTGTAAAGAAAAAAAGACTTTGAAGGAAGTGAGCTCTATTAATTTTAGAGATGATGAGCTTAAATTCGTTTGGGATAAAGTCAAAAAAGATTTAGAAGGATTTGTTAATGTGGGACCGTATGAATGCATTAGTGTTAAATGTTAATACACATGTGTAGAAGGTGCAATATAGTTGCAATATTAATATTCCTTTATAACATGGTTATATAAACAAATTTATCGCTTATTACGATTAAAGTTTAGATACAGAGTTGGCAAAAATATTAGTGATATTTTGATAAATGTAATAATTTTATATATTATATATAAGTATATATTTTTTAAATATAATAATAGTTCAAAATTTTACTATAATAGATAAATTATTTTATTTATATTTTGTAAAATTTTAATAAAAATTAGTTGTAATTTAAAAAAGTTTTATAAGTAATATATTTCAATTTTATATAAAAATTTCAAAATACTATGTATTACTATATAAAAATGATCTACATATCCTCTACCCTTAAATTTTCATCAACTGTTAATTAGGTAAATGTATTACTTGCTACTTAAAAGCAATAAATTTACCTAATTAGCAGTTGATGAAACTTTAAAGAAATATTTTTCGTTAGTATCACTTGCTTCTGGCAAATCTAATCTGATATAATCAGATTCGTTAATAATTTTTCATATCGAGTGCATTTTCATATAGAATGTTTACTATAATCAGCCAATCAGATTTAAGAATCAACAACTAATCTTATATAACAAATATAATAAATAAAAAGAAGGGTGTTTATTTTTGGTTTATACGAGGGTCATGTGATTAGTTAAAAACTACAGTTCAATTACATAAACTTAGCTCAATTAACTACCTTCAATACTCATAACTAGTGTTTAAAATTTAAATTCAAAATTAAGTTCTCAAGTAAGCTAAATTTATAGTATTAATGTTCTTAAAAATTTTTTAATGTTCTCATTATATAAATATTATTTTTTAAATAAACTTATATATTTATCAAGTAAACCTATCTTGAGCTCTTATATAAAATTGTATACAGAAACTTTCTGATTCTAATAGTACTTAAAATATTAAAATTGGTTTAGTAAATCATGAGTTATATTTATTTTAGTTTTTGTAACTATAGGTTTTTTTTTGCAAATTTGTAAAGAAAACTTATAGTTACAAAAATTAAAATAGATATAACTCATGATTTACTGAACCAATTTTAACATTTCAAGTACTATTAGAATCAAAAAGTTCTTATATACAACTTTACTTAAGAATCTAAGTAAGATTAATATAGTAGTAAAAAAAGTTATAATTAGTTAATTGTTTAATAATAATAATATTTTGAGAACATTTTATCTATACAAAATGTTCTTAAATAAGAGAACATTAATTTAAATATTGATATTCTTAAAATAATTTTAGTGTTAACTGAGAACACTGAGAACATTGAATTTTAAATACTGCTTGTAACTAAAAATTTTTCTATATCAAATTTTACTATACTATAAAATTCCTTTATTTATCTATATATTTAAAATTTGCAATTTTATGTTTGTAAATATTTACTCATTAAGTATTATAATTTAGTATATAAGTATAAAGATCATTTATTAATCTATATATCTATTAAAACAAACTTTTTATTAATCAATATATATATAATCTCTATTAAAAAAAACTTTTTATACTGTTAAATTACACTGGAGTTTAAGAATCTGATAAATGTTTTGATAGTTAACTAATTCTATAAAAATATAGTTCAAATACACTATGTGAGGTACTAATACATCTAATAATTATATTCTGCAGATCATTAATTGAATATCACTTTGTACTAACCAAATATTTTTTTGTTTATTTATGTACTACAGACAAATATCAGTTATGGTATAAATATTTATATATCCTTTATTTAATATAATCATAATTTAAAATAACAATATAAATAATAACATAAAAATGATATAAAAAAAAATTGAATTAAAAAAAAAACAAAAAAAAATAAAACATGATCGAATCAATTAAGTAAAAAAATATTAATATTATTTATTTTTTAGTATAAATTTGGAGTAGAAATATCTTTATAGTTATTGAGTTGAGTTTGTAAATCAGAGATAGTTTGTTCTAATCAGATAATTATTTTTAATTAATACATAGTAATTAGTTTTTATAGTATAATATCGAATAAATCATGAATTTCTATGTTACAAATTTTATATTTTTTTCATATATAAATTCAATTAATCAAAATATTTTATTAAAAAAATCAATAAAGTTGTTTTATTAAGTTATTGATAAAATATTAAAATTTTTTTTAATGAGAATAATGTATTTTTTATTTTTTTTATTTATTAATTTATCTGTTTCTTTATTACATCAATATATTGAGGTAAAAAAAAAAATAATTAATGTTTTTATTTAATTAGTATTAATTATTTATGTGATAATTTATTAATTTTAGTCATATGTTTTACTATGTATCAATATTTGCAAAGATGTTTATTTTCAAAATTCTTCTTATATATGTGGTGATGAACGTTTAGGTCCAAAAAAACTTTTAGAAGATTTTTCTTTTTTGACAAAATCTGGTACTTACTTTCATTTTGATGATCTTTGTCCATCTGAATTTCTCAAAAAATAGACTTATGCTTCTAATGGTAGTTATATTTATCTACCTAATGATAGTTTTTTGCCTAGTATAAAAGGTGAATTAATATTGAGTAATGTATCTCTTTCTGTTGGAATAAAACTTGATCATTTCAGTTCTGAATTTGGAAAATATTTATCTCCTATTCATATACCTTACAATCAACGTGCATTACCACCTAGTAATCTCAATATAAAAGATACAGAAAATTTTCCATATAATTATCATATGTATGAAGTTATAAAATCCTTTATAGTATTAGCTGGTCTAATTAGAGGTTAGTTTGAACAACTTGGAATGAGAATATAATTCAAAACATATGATAATATTATAATATTAATTAAAAATAGTTATTTGAAAAGATTAAATTAATAGATAAGTTTATATTGTAAATTAAAATAATTAATTAATAAATTATATATATATTGACTTTTATCTGAATGAATTTTATATTAATAATTTTTTATTAATTTTTGATATATCAAATCAAAGAATTTATATAATAAATTTTTTATTTGAAAATTGAATTATGAATAAAATTTATATTATTATTTTTATGTTTTAAATAAGTTAATAACAAAAATTTTTGAAGAATATTTACAGTAATGAGATGAGCTTCATATCCTCTATAATTAAAATGAAGGGAACCTTTGTATCTTTGTTTTAGTACTTTAATTTTGAAATGATATTTTTTTATAGTAAAGATATTTATTATATTTGTTTTTCCTGATCTATAAAATAAAACATAGAAATAATCAAAATATAATTTTATATCATGATGTGGAATCATAAAAAAATCAATTGATTTTTCAATTATTTTTGTTGCGTGTAATTTATATAATATTTTATAACTAGAAAATATTTTTTCTGTACAAAAATATCAAATATAATCTATATTTATAAATGAATAATTATGATATTTTTGATATAAATATTTACTGGTTTTGAATTTTGTTGTTCGATACTCATGATTTTAAGTATGATAAATTTCTTAGATAATATTTTTTTAAATGTTTTACATGTTAATAGCATATTTATAACATTATTGAAATCATCAAATTTACTTTTTTCAATAATCATTGAATAAATTTCAATTGGAAAGATCATTTTTTTTTTTGATTAATAATTGAAAGATATAATGATATTTATATTTTTTTTATAATATAAAATATTATTTATTTATTAAAGATGATATTATTAATTCAATCTGCAAATCTCTTGTACCAAATTTTCCCAAAAAATTTTTTAATAAAACTAAATTTCTTCAAAATTTATTAAGTAAACTAAGCAAGTGCTCTTAAGTAAACTTGCTCTACATATAATTTTACACCCTAGCGGCCTAGTTTTATAACTCTTGCTTTCTTTTAAGCAATGTTATATTCAAAAACTAAAGGCAGTGAATTTTAAATTTTCTCTAAAACTAGCTTCTAAACCTCTCTTATGCTCTTAAGTAAAGTTGTTGGCCAGCCTTTTCCGGTCATAACAAGCTCTAAATCATCTTTCTAGCACAAATATTGAGCTCCACAGAGTCCCAAACGGCTTTTAAAAATGCCTACAAGAAATTAAAATACTTTTAAACAGGTTTTTGATAATAGCTCAGTGAGTTTTGCTCCATTTATGATGAAATTTATATCAAAATAAAGCTCTGACTTAGGAGAATCTAACTCTTTTAATAAACAAGAGTTGTTATATTAGTAATATTTTGAAATATTTAAGAAAATAAAAGTAAACCAGAAATAAAAAATATCTTTATTAAATTTGGTCTGAGAGATATGAAACTACATCACTAGAGGTAAAATTTAGTATCTAACAATTTTACTTAGAGGTTCAGAGGTTATTTACTTAGTATAATTTTAAGATATTTTGAAGAAACTAGAGAAATAAAGTTTATTTAATATCTCTACAAGTAAAGGTTTAGGAGAAATAAAACTAGACCGCCCTAGAGTAAAATTTTGCTGTGAACAACTTTACTTAGTGGCTTAAGGTTAGTTTACTTAATAGAATTTTAAGTAATAATAAAATGTTTGCAGAAAGTTTTAGTACAAGTGATTTACAGAAAGAGTTGTTTATCTAATTTATATAACAATTTTACTAAAAAGCTATCTAAATATATTGTGAAAAAGATTTAACTAATAACTACAGAGTTGTTCTAGTTATTTAAATACTTACATCTAATACCACTTGCATATACTGCTATCAAACAAGAAGAATAAGTTAATACTAATCTTTTAGAAGATTTTGGAACTAGTACTAATGAATATGCAATACTTTATTCTATAGTAAAAAAACTTAATACTTATTCTGTAACTTAGACCAAATATATAACTCTACTACTGCTAGAACAATTTGTCAAGATATTATATTTAGTTATACTTATCATAATAGCAACTATAATCCTAGAGAAATTATAAGCCAAATCTTTGCTTAATATACTATCTATAACATATCTACTCTTAATCCTATATACTATAATTAATATAATTATTATCATAAACTAGAATACTATCCTTATTGGCAAAACCTCTTTTAACTTAAATATACTCTGAACTAAAAAATCTTCAAATATTAGTTGATACACTATTAACATTCGAAAACCTTATAGTATTTCCTCTACCACTTAATCTACTACTATCTGTAATTCTTTATCTCTCTTATAACAACAATTTACAATAGCTGATATTGCTTTGAATACTACTACTATAGCAATAACTAACCTTGCTAATAGAATAAGAATCTGAAAAGAACTTTATTAAAGTTTAATACTTCTGAGAAGATAAAATTTAAGATCTAGAAGAATAGTTTAAAGAATTAAGAAGAGCTACTACTGCAAACAGATAAAACAATGATAGAAAACTTGAACTTGCTCTTGTCTTTCTTAAAGGAGTTGCTCTTGATTAGTTCATTACCTTTAATTCTGTCTCTAATACTTTTGATAATACTATAAAGTTTTAGATATTTCTTTAGAACTAGGTTCTATACTTTTAAATAAAAAGCCTTTTAGCAAAAATATTCTTTAAGATTAAACAAGGCAACAATACTGTTGATATATATATGAATAGATTAAGAAAATTGAAAAAGAAAATAGATAGAGCAAATACCTTTTCTGCTGTCTTTATTATTTAAGTTTTTATTTAAGAACTACATCCAGAATATGCTATAATATATAAGCAACAGAGTTAGCAGATCTAGCTACTACTATAACTAGTACTAAAAGATAGGAAACTAGATATATAATAGCCTTGAACAAGAATACTGAAACAGACTAAGCTATTAAGACTATAACTAAACAAATTACTTAACTAAGTATTAATCTTGTTCAAAAACAACTTGCTATCAAAGAAACAAACTATGTTGAATCTTTTTGACTCTCTAGACTCTAAGCTACTTGCTATTACTATAGTAAAAATAAATACTTTATTGCTTAATACCAAACTAAAAAGAATAATTAACAGAAAAGAAATAGAAACTAAAAATATAATTAAGATAATAATTAAAGATATAACTCAAATAATAACTTAAGAAAAAGAGCTTCAAAATCTTCTTACTAAAAATTTGATAACTAATAGGAAAGAAGAAACTGATCTTAAAATCAATAAAGAAATTATTGAAACTAGAATAGAGTTAACAGAAACTGAAGCTACTCATGAGAATCTGATAGAAGAAATAAATATAAAAAAACCTCTTTCTCTTATCCTTAAATATTAACTATATAGATAATAATAAAAAAGATGATCAAAAATTTCAGATAACTCAAGACCAATAAGAAGCTATCATTGCTAATGCTTCTATTAGGAATTCTCTCTTTGCATACTTATATAAGTAAGCTAAAGATAAAAATTTATTACCTCAATATATATATATATATATATATATATATATATATATATATATTTTTTTTTTTTTTTTTTTTTTTTTTTTTTTTTTTTTTTTTTTTTTTTTTTTTTTTTTTTTTTTTTTTTTTTTTTTTATTTATTTATTTATTTATTTATTTATTTATTTATTAATAATATTAATTAGAAAAGAGATTAGTATATATATATATCAGAGTGATATATATGTGAAGCTAATGTATATCCTTAAATTTTACTGTTGTTGCTAAGGCTATTAGCAATAGTTAGATATCCAATATAATATTATATCCTCATTTTATATTTGCTAGTTAATTTAAACAAAAGTTACTATTAACTATAGAGAAGGTTAAAAGAGATCTCTAAGTAAATTAAGAATGAAAATTAGAAAAAACAATTAAATATAGAGAAATTTTGAAGTAAATATTTTTGTATATATATATCTATATTAGAGTTATAGATTGTAGTAATAGTTTTAGTTGATAATGATTGTAGAAAGTATATTTGATTAGTATTTTTTTGGTTTTTTTTTGAGAGATACTACAAGCTATTTCCTATTTATAGTAGATTTGATTTCTGTTATTCCAGATTTTGTTATTAAACTAAAGAAGAAGAGAGTTAGAGAGTTGAATAAAAAAGTTATTAGTTGATTTTTTGAGTAGAGAATTAGTTAGTTATAATAAAGTGTTAAGACTATACTTTGTAAAAAAAGTAGAATAGTATTTGTTAGGTTTGAAGAGTTGTTGTAATAAGTAATTAGATAGAAAATAGATAGAGCAAAAATATTATTTATATTAGATGTATTTAAGATTATTATTATTTAGTTAAGTAATATTTTATTTAGATCAATAAAATAAAGTATGCAAGAGAGTATATATATAGTACTTCATATTAATTACAAAATATATAATTTGATATAAAATATAGGTTTGGATTGTAGATATTTAGATTTGCTATTTTTAGTAAGTTGTTTAAGATAATTTTATTTCTGAAAGAATTAGTTTTGGGTTATTATTTTGTAAATTTATTATATTAGTAAGTTGAAGAATATTAAAAAGTAGTAGATTATGAAATATATTAAGTTGTATAAGTTTGTTGAAAGTTTGAATTGAGAGAATATTTGTGCAGAATTTATATATTTTGAATAGTACAGAGATATAGTTTTATAAGAAAATAAAGATAAGTAGTAGTATTGGGTATTAAGTTGAATTTCTGTTTTATCAATATCTTGTTTGACTAGAGAATCAGCAATGTTATGAAAGGAATTTATTGAGTATAATTTTGTTTTGTAAGTAATAAGTTAGATATTTTTCTTTTAAATTAGATAGTTTAGAATATAAATAATATTCTAGTTGTTAATTTTAGTTTGAGTGAAATAGTTATATAGAAGGTTATTTTTGAGTATTTGGATTGTTAAGAGGTTGTCTAGATGTA